TAAATTTTTACCAGATGGTGACGTATGACATATAAATTTCTTTATGACTTGTGTACCTCCATCTGGCTTATTTTAACACTGCTCATATGCCTAAATACACGCGTGCCTGAACTTGCTGTGCATCTGTACTTAGGCCTACATGTACATGTGAAGACTAAACACCAGACTGTCGCTTATAATCATCTATATGTTTAATAATTAGAAGTAATTTCCTAGGGCAAATATTACGATCTCCTATCTAACAGTTTGCGTCAGTGAGGATTTTGTAATAAACAATATGAACACACGTTCGTATAATCAGAAATTAGCCGTAAGCCAAAGGATATGAATATAATATTGATATAAATATTAGGTAGGCCTACAGCGACTCGAATGACTGACAATAAGTTTTCCCACAAATATGGAACGTCGTGAGATTTGCGTGTGGGCTCACGTCATTTAATAATTAATTTAGAATTCCAATGCAAACCATCATTGTCTCTTGAAAGTGTAAAATCTTTGTCTCTATCTTTGATTGGCTCTTGGTGCTTTTTGTAGAAACGAAAATCCGTATGTGCATATCCGGTCGATCGTGAGAATTCACGTTGTACATCTAAGGCACTCGACTTCAACCAAACCTTATTAAATCTTAGCGCCCTCTATTATGTAAATGATGTCTACTTGCACTTTTTTTCCCACAGCCTCAACCGGAGGTAACATTTATATTCATAAGTTACATCTCTGACACACTGAAATAAATCCATATAAATAAAAGTACGTATAACACGGATCTAATCATCGGCGATCATCTGGTGAGAACATTTTCACATAATGCATTTTAAACGTACAGATTGCAGATTTATAGACGTGGAAGGCTAGTACGGGGCGCCATCTGATACATGATTAATATTTCCAACAAAATTATTATTTTGTTTACAGTGGGGAAAACTTTCAGTTTTTTCTAAAGTTTTTAAGAATCTAAAATCGTTTAAATAAGCCTTCCAAATCTCTAGTGAAAGCCTTCAGGCCCTTCGTCACCTGGACCCTTTCCTGTGGTTTTGGGCACCTTTGCCACTCGCATACGTTCTCTTCGGAGAAGACAGTGAGCACACCGTCGGAGAATTTCAATATCCAGTAATGTTCTTTTTTCCTTCAATTTTTATATACTTAAATTTTGAAAATGTAAGAAGGGGGACGACTGGGTCCCCTAGAATTCACTTCCTATGAATAGTCCTACACAAAGACAATACCAGATCTGAACTTTATAAATTGCATAATCGTAGCAAAACCAAATTATGTAAGAGTGACTTTTGTTACAGTAAGATGATGAAATTAATTGTTATTGGGCGTATTAGACTGGTTTATTTCGTTGAGTACGAATTTTCGTTGAGGTATTATTATTCGACTGGTTCGTAAAATAGACTTCGTTGACAATGAAAATTAATGTAACCAGAATGCGTTAATCAGCGTTACGTTATGCACGTGACCAACAAAAATATGGCCGATTGGTCAGTTTAGCAACAACATTTGCGTTATTATAATTTAGATTAAATTTCAGAAAATAAAAATTACAATAGTTACCCACATTGAAGTCAAAAAAATAATTGTAGGCTAACAGAATTCAAAAACTCGATGAGAACATGGGTTTTTTTTTACAAAAAAACCCATACTGGCACAATCCGGAGCAGCATTGATTACGCAGCGTGTATCGGTAACTATGCAGCCATAATTGTTTTGTCGAGTATTTACCAGGTTTCTATTCGACTGGTCGATTTCACCACTGCGCAAGTGGGCGTGGTTTAACGAAGGACGACCAGAATACGGCCATTAATTGAGTTTGTGGATCAGTTTGAAGTGAAAAATCTTGCGGTTCATATTGCGCGAGTGTACTGTTACTTAGATATGACGAGTCATGTTAATATCGTATTTAAAAAATAAGGTAAAAAGTAAAATTGAAACAGCAATCAACACTTGAATAGTCATTACCTTGGAACTGGGCCTCCTGAGTTGAGTCTTTGTCAGAAGCCTTCTTACAAACCAAATCGTGGAAGCAAGGAGTGTTTCAAAATTATAAAATGTGGAAATTCCTTTTTTTCCCGTTTTTTTTTTTTTTTTTTTTTTTTTTTTTTTTTTTTTTTGTGCTGCGTCCAAAAACCAAGTTAATTGTTTGGCACGTCTTCTAGAATAGATATGGTTTTTATAAGAGTTTAATTTATCATTATATGGTTGTTTTGATATGAGTGTCATACATTTTTGAAAACTTTTTGCGAATATATTGTAGGCTTCATTTGGAATTTGTTGCAAACTTTGGACCAATCAATATTAAGTAGATTATTATTAGTAAAATATAAAATATTTTTATAATCATTTTTTAAAACATATTTAATACTGTTTTTTAAGGACGAAGAAGGTGGAAATCAATTAGTTTTTTTAATATTACGCAGATATACAAGTAAATGCCCATCTAAGGATTATAAAACAAAATAGACAAAAACGGGTGTTTGAATACAGTAACACTAGTGGAAGCAGTGGCCGCAGCAAAACAATATTCTTTCCGAATACCGTACTAAACGAAACGTTAAAACATTAAAATCCGAAACAATTCTTCACAGATCCAAATAACATCAATATCGATTTGCATGTTAGGTCAATGGCCATATTCGACTGGTCGTTCTTCGTTAAACCACGCCCACCTGCGCAGTTGTAAATTCCTACTTTTAACGAAGACGACCAGACCAGTCGAATTAAAAACTTGTAAGTACTCGACAAAACAAAATGGCTGCATAGTTATCGCGATACACGCAGCATATTTAAAATTGCTTCAGCTTGTGGCAGTATAGATTTTTTGTAAAAGAAATGTTTTCATCCAGTTTTTGAATTATGTTAGGCTACAATTATTTTTTTTTTACTTCATGTGGGTAAATATTATAATTTTTATTTTTTGAAATTTAATCTAATTTATATTAACGCAAATGTTGTTTCTAAACTAACCAATCGGCCATGTTTGTTTTGGTCACGTGGATAACTTTAAGCAGATTAACACACTCTGGTTACGCTAATTTTCGTTGTCAACAAAGTCTATTTTACGAACAAGTCGAATGAAAATAATACTAAACGAAAATTCGTAGTCAACGAAATGAACCAGTCAAATACGCCTAATATGGCGTACCGAACTGCACAATACTGTATAACAATTATTTTCAAAACAATATTATAGAAGATCGAAAGAACAATCACTCCAGATAATCTTTTCATCCCAAAGTCTTATTTAGAAATCTTAAAACTTCCTTCAGCTGTAATGCTCCCTACATCTACAATTCTCTTCCACCAATTGTTCGCTCTGTTTTTCTTTATAGTTATTAAAATCTTACCATTTGAGATATCTCATTTAATCTTGTGTAATTTCCCCTGTGGCAAAATCTATTAAATGTTCATTATATAAAGTAAATCAGTTTTGTCTTAAATCAGTATTATATCAATATTTTATAATTTAATTAAGTATTAATTAATCATTTTCCTAATAGTTTACTTTATACTCTGCTTTAGATTATTCTATTTCAATAATTTTACTGTATTTTTTATGTTCTTTTTGATTATTTTTATATTTTAATAATTGTTCTATGTCTTTATATTTCAATTTATTTTTATTTACAATTTATCAATATTGTTTAAATCTTTTTATGTTTTTCACATTTCAAATTTCGTTTTTAGATTTTATTAGATTTTTATTTATATCTGTATTAATCAATACCTAATTGGCATTTATGTGCGTGGGCTGCATGTTTTCGTTGATTTGAACAAACCTAATCGCGTTTAACAAAACAAATAATCGTATAATAGAATCTCCTCTATGTTTTTCATTTTAAAATTTCAACACATCTCAAATCATTGCTCATCAGTGGCTTATTGTCATGACTAAGAAGCGTTTGTGGTTTTAGCTACACCATAATAGAATCTTTTATCGTGTATACTTGTTTTGCATTTATACAGCATTATACAAAGAATGTTCAATTTGTCTATCAATAATTGGCATTTGAAAATATTCTAAGAATGGCCCCTGAGAAAAGTACCAAAAGAGAAAACATCTCTAAATTTAGATTATTCTGTTCCTCAGGGGCTCTTCTCAGCTTACGTATTTAATTCTTGTATTAACGTCGACCCAAGGATTCACAATTCGGTTAGGGGATACATTTTAGACAATAAGTATTAAAATCTTGAAACTTTTTTTTTGCATTTATAGCCTAAAGCATGTTCCAGGAATGTTCAATTCATCTAATTAATACAGTTCTCCCTCCAATTAAAGACCACATTTCTGTGGTCCTAAATTAACAAAAGTGGCCTTTAATTGGAGGGAGACCTGCAGTATTTTAATTATAACTAGGAATATAAAAAAGAAAATATCGGTAGGTGTAGATTATTTCTACATATTTTATGAAATTAGTAATTACTTTGTAGATTACGGTACGTTCTCTATCTAGTTATTTACAGTGGCGGCTCTAGGATATATTTTCTGGGGGGGGGGG